ATTTACTTATTTTTTTATCCTTTTAAGAGCCTACTATGATTGGAAATATATTACTTTAATTAACTTTTACCAATAAAGAAGATAATTCGGTCAAGTATTAGATTACTGCAAATTATAGTAAATGCCAATTTCTCTTGAATCATTTTATTTGTCCAATATTTTAATGATTGACTCACATCAATATAGACGTTCTCATTCATATTTTTATGTATTTTTTTCTCTGTATAATTCAATCGGGCTATCAATTTCACTGTAGGAGTCACCTACAAAGAAACGCCATAAAACAAAAAAAAATGGAAAAACGAGTCGAATTGAATTGATATAAATTGTGTTTGAGCGATATCTTGCCTTATATTATGTACATATATGTATATTTGGGTGTCTCTACCAATAATCATTACATTACTAGTAGAAAAATATTGACCTATTGGATTTTTTTAGTTTTCCGCCGAAATTCCGTTCATGCAGTGAATCCCTGTGCCGATTTTGCTTCAATTACTTTATTTTTTTATTTTTTTAAGGATGACCCTGCATCAATATGGGAGTTATCATACATGTTTTCCATGTAGTTTTTTACGAGAAATACAATGGATTGATCAGATTTACTGTAGGTATTATCTGCAAAGAGTTACGACCAAAAAACGTGAAAAACACGGTTTCTTTCATTTTTAGCAGGGACCCCGCTCGATATCCGGATTTTCAATCATACCATCTTATTCCTTGTAAAAAAGCACATTATTGTAAAAAAAAAGTTACTGTAGGTCCCAAAGGAAGCGGAGATAATGCAGGTTGAATAATTTTCAAATTTTTTTAATGAGGGCGTACTCAATATTATGAGTTAAAAAAATTCAGATAAGTTTGTCTTATTATGAAGTATACTTGTGAGTTTGTTCAGATTCCGAAAGCTTATACACGCGGATAAAAAAAATATTTACAAAAAAAACCGTTTTTTGGCCATATAGAGACTTGGGGGGGGGGGTCTAGGAAGCTCGGGTTTGCGGTAAACATATTCTTTTTATATGTAGAATATGCCTAGAAATTTAGTTGTCCGATCCCGGGAGGGGGGCATTTTGACAATACTAATGGAGGGTACCTTTCCAGTTTTTCCGAGTGCGAGAACATGGGTGGGATGTGTTTTCTACTACGGTATTTGGCTTTCGACTTTTGTAGCCCTTTATTTCAAATCTTATTATGAATATCAAAAAGTCAAAATTATAGAAATGTAGCAAATATAAGAAAAAGTACCACTCATTAAGTATCTAACATTTTGATCTAAAATGCAAACCGTAGCTTGCTAACTTTAAAAATATTTTTGCAAATATATAAGTAAAATAAAATAAAATAAACTAATGCAAAATATCGAGTTGCGCGATATATAAGGCATTTATTTACAATATTTCTGACATATTTCTGTCAAGTTTTTACATATCTGAATTTTCGTAAAAAATAATCGTTTGTTGTCTCTATTAACTAAACTACAATCATAAAAAGAAAACATAGCTACGATGAAATGCAGTAGATCAAAGCTTTATGAGTATTACTAGTGAATAACTGACAAACAGATGCCGAAGGAAAGTATCAAATCTTTGGATTGTTCACCCATATGTAACTCTGAAGGATCTTTTAATATAACAGCAACAGTAAGAATTAAGTCCATACTTCATATTTTTCTAAAATTATAGATTATTTTAAGCAAAATAGTTAAAATAGATCCATATCATTTGGATGGTTTTACGTTTTTTAACGATTTTTTTTCCTATCGATTTTTATTTTAACTTAATTATATTAAAAAAGCACTAATAGTCACTTGACTTATTTGAATTATAAGTTAGTCATGTTGTAACGGAGAATCACGGCTTGGCCGATGTTTTCGATTGGGCTAATGTCGACATCTGCGCGCTGTACCAGGTGGAGAGCATGCATGTATGTGCACACTCTCATGTCTGTACTTTCCTATTTGAGCAGCGGTGTAAAGTGATTGATGGAGCCGAGTGGAGCAACGAAGCGAAGAGAAGCCATAAAACGAAGTAGAGCGATCGAGAACGAAAGATGAAGAGAGAAACGCGAGTTATGTGCGCGGCCGATTCGGAGGGGGATCATGAAAGTGATTCAGTTGAAAGCCAACATTTTGCTTCATAGCCATTTTTCACCAGCCTTTTCGAGTTGCAAGAGTGGTCAGCCTCCGTGCGCCATGGGCTGATCTCTGCTAATTTTTCTGGGTTCTTTCTCGGTAAAGAAAGCCGGCGCTGACTTTCACAGGCCGAAGTTCGCGCTGGCTGGGGAAGGTTGACACAAAGAAACGGACACTCTAATTCAATGATATTACACATGGCGATCTCATTTATTGACGCCTTTTCACAAATATCGCTAAAAGATTCACTTCGCCGCGGCGAGCGCGCTCGCTCAGCCTTTCCGCGACAAGAGTTCGCGAGATCACGCGAGCGAGATCGCTCAGCGTGCGCGATAAAACCAAAATACGCTAATGTCCGTAATCGAGCGAGAGCTGGCGCGAGAGAGATAAACAGGCTTTCGACCCACCGGATGCTGACGGTCCGTCGGCAGAGAGACGACGCCGACGAAAGCGCAGGCCCGCTGGAAACGACGCCCTGGCGATGACTGGGACTGCTGCAGGAGAGGCCGCAGCACGGCCTTTGCCCCGGGGACGGCGAATGGTCGCTGCTTGTCCGGGCTCGGCTCGGAACACCTGGTTCTCCCGGCAAATAGCCGTCGCACTCCCAGCAGTCGTTCCTCTCTGGCCGAAATGTCCTCTCGTTCAGACTCTCCTTAGGCGGCCCCAATTACTTGAGAGCTCGCGCCTAACTGCCCTTCTTCTCTCTTAATTTTCCAAGCCTCGCGCCGCTGCGCTCCCACCTCTCTCGCCGTCAAAAATCAGTCAAAATCGCTCTCTCTCTCTCTCTCTCGCTCTTCTCGCTCTCACTCGCACTCACAGCGACACCTCGCCGATCGTTGCACTCCTCTCTCCAGATCCTGCAACGACACAAGTATGTAGTCGCTATATAGCGTACACTTGGTCGCTGCGTTCACGCGAGGAGAGTGCCGCACACAGGCCCAGCGAGCATCGCTATAGCCCTGTCACAGAGTTTCTTTGTTCGATACACATTCTCACCGAAGACTTTATTTCACGACGATACCCTTTTGATGATGTAGCTGGATTGCGCCCAATCAGCGGTTATCCTCGAAACTGGTGTATATGAAGAACCAACGAGATAACAAACGGTGCACACGTAGTCATTGAGAGGTGAGCAAGCATATCGGCGATCTGAGAAATAAGCGAGCAAGAGAGACAAACAGAAGAAGCAAGCAACCAGCAAGCATCTGAGAACAACTAGAGGTGATGAGTAGCGTTATTAGTAGAAACAGCTTCAAACTAGGTCGGTGTCGTCCGTTTTCTCTCTCTCTCTCTCTCTCTCTCTCTCTCTCTCTCTCTCTGTCTCTTGCATTTTCGAACATAATTCTGACAAGCGTGCAGCTAAGTAGTATTGATGCCCCCGCCGGTTTCAATAGTTGTTCGGTGCGAAATATTTGTCGATCGGTGGAGGATTTGTGACAGGGCTGATAGCGATGTTCGCTAGTCCTTGCGCGGCACTCTCCTCGCATGGATGTAGCGGCCGAGCGTGGTTATGGATGACATAGTATTCACGCGCTTGTGTCGTTGCAGGGCCTAGAGAGGGAAGAGCGTGGCCAGCGGAGAAGAGCGCGAGAAAGAGCGAGAGCGCGAAGAGCGTGAGAGGAAGAGAAGCAAGCGAGAACGCTAAAAGCGCGGCTCGCGCCGCGAGAATTAGGAGAGCGCTGGAAGTATTGAGAGCAGTGGAGGAGTGACCGTACGCTAATCAGGTCACGGCGCGAGATAAGTTAGACGACCCGCCAAGAAGAGCAAGTCCAGGACGAGCGAGAGAGGAGTTTTTGTGTGGCGAATCTCCGGCTGCTGCTGAGCAGACCCACAGCGACCTAGATTCGACGTTCGAGAAGCCGATACCGGCCGCCAGCTGTCAACCAGCCGCTGCCGGTAGTCCAGCGACACCGCTGCCAGCAGGACTGCGATTTCGGCGACGTCGCCTCTCCACCAGCGAGCCACGGGAGGAGCTACCCGGTGGGTCTGATTCTGTTTGTTCCGCTATCTCTCTCTCACGTGCCAGCTATCGCCCGGCGCAACGCCGCGAATTGAATTGTCGCGCGTACGATAGTTGAGCGACTACGCTGCTATTCGCCGCTTACTGTCGCGTTCCGGAGATTGAGCGAGCGCGCTCACCACCGTGATTTGTAAGATTCCGTAATTGTTATTTCATTGGCGTAAATAAAGGTATCGCTTTTCTGTATTTATTCGAATTCTTCTTTCCCGTCATCGCGGTAGATTCGCGCCCGTGGAAGTTAGCGCTGGCTTTTTTTACCGGAAGAGGATCCTTAAATAACTGGCAGGGGGCACAGTAGTGGCGCACTCGGCTGTGTCTATAAGGATATTTCCCTTCCCCTTTGCAGATTGACCAACAGTATTGCCTGCGATTTCTATTCGAATGTAAATAATTTTGTAGACTTTGTTTTCTCTTATATTGGTAGCGCGAAGCTACTTAGATTTTAACTTTGGCGTAAAGAGCATATTTTTTTTAACTATCTTTCATGTATGTATCGGCGTCGTAGTTTAACGAGTAAATGCCTTAATATTAATTGTGTGTCACAATGATTTCAAACCCAACTTTCTCTATATCCCGAATTCAGATTGACGTAAGATTATTGCGTACACCCGACGCAACATTCAATCGATGGAGCGTTCACATCTTTCTAATTCCCTTTTTAAGTAATTTGTGTGGATGGCCGTGGAGCGAACTCATTGGTGTCCGCCGGATTACTCCGTTAAAATGCAATCTGACCAATCCAATAAAAATACTATAGTAATGTTACGAATTAAATATTAAGATGAATAGTTGTAGCTTCTTACATGTTTTCATGTGCTTGAATATTTACTTAAGATAAAATATACTTACAATATTGTTGGTGTTTTAAGTATTTTGAATCCTCCTCTTTGTCGTGGAAATATATCTTCTGCGAAATAATAAATATGACCGACTGCCATTCCAATAAGATCAACCCATACCGCATTACCCAGCAGTACTGAAAATCCAAGTAGTACCCACGGTAAATATGGCGCCTGAAAATTATGATGCATATATAATACAGTAAGAAATCAAATTTCATTATTAATTGACATCTAAACATTATAAATAAGACAGGATTGCAATTTCAATATCTATAAAATAGTGAAGAAATTTAAACAAAACACCCAAAAACAAAAAAAGTACTATAAAATCTTAATTACATGAAACAACTTGATTCAAAAAAAGTGAACACGTAAAACAAACAGGTAATGGAAGTTTATGGATCATAATTGTAACAAATAAAGATTTGTTAAAGTGCGTACGTAAACCATGGAGCGATCCTGGAAGCGAAAATTAACACCCATACCGAGAACAAAACGTACGTGGACGAATAGCAGTGGTCATTTTGATGAGCCGCAACAAGTAAAATAGACTAGAGAAAGAGAGAGAACGAAGTAGAAAGAATGAGAGAGGAATAACTGCAGGCGCGCGCGTAACTGACCGAAAAAGTTTGAAGTTATTGTACGAGGTGTGTTCAAAAAGTAAGGTGACTTTTGAAATTTCACGGGCAACGTACTTTCGATTATCGATTTTATGTTGGTACACTCTTCCCGAACATCTGTACCAAGTTTCAAGTGTATAGCATTTTTTGTTTGGTTGTGAGAAGCGTAAAGGTTATAAGTGTTTTGCGTGCTCGGCGATTTCTTGCTATCGAAAAATATGGATCAAAGGATTTGTATCAAATTTTGTGTAAAAAATAAAATAAAGTGCTCCAAAACACTTGAAATCTTGACGGTGGCATACCGTGAAACTGTTCTGAGTAAAAAAAATGTTCACAAGTGGTACAAACTCTTCCAAAATGGCCGGGAAGATGCCAATGACGAGCCTCGCTCTGGACGCCCAAGCACGTCAACAACTGATGAAAACGTTCAAGCAGTGAAGAAAATTGTTCTGGAAAATCGTCGAATCACTATCAGAGAAGTTCTTGAGGATGTTGGTATATCGCTTGGCTCGTGCCATGAAATTTTGTCTAACGTTTTGGGCATGAGACGTGTGTCAGCGAAGTTTGTTCCGAAATTGCTAAATTTTGACCAAAAGAACCGTCGCATGAACATCGCTCAAGAACTATTGAATGACGTCAACGACTACCCAGATTTACTCAAAAGGGTCATAATTGGTGATGAATCATGGGTATATGGTTATGATATCGAAACCAAAGTCCAACCGTCCCAATGGAATAGCCCAGATGAGCCAAGACCAAAAAAAGCACGCCAAGTTCGATCAAATGTCAAAGTTTTGCTCACTGTTTTCTTCGATTACCATGGCATGGTGCATCAGGAGTTCTTACCATATGGACGTACGGTCAATAAACAGTATTATCTTGAAGTTATGCGCTGTTTGCGAGTAGCAATACGAAGAAAACGCCCAGAATTGTGGAAAAACAATTCATGGCTTTTGCATCACGATAATGACCCTGCTCACTCATATTTGCTTGTGAGAGATTTTTTGGCCAAAAACAACACCACAATCATGCCTCAGTCACCATATTCATCGGATTTGGCCCCATGTGACTTTTTCTTGTTCCTAAAACTAAAGAGACCTATGAAAGGACGGAGATTTGCAACGATTGAAGAGATAAAGACTGCATCGCTGGAAGAGCTCAAGGCTATACCGAAAAGTGCTTATGAGAAATGCTTTGAGGATTGGGAAAACCGTTGGCATAAGTGTATTGTATCTGAGGGGGATTACTTTGAAGGGGATAACATAAATATTAATAAATAAATAAATATTTTTTCTTAAAAATACAAAGTCACCTTACTTTTTGAACACACCTCCTACAATATAAAGGCTGATTGAGGCTATATCAAGAACCAAAAATATCACTCAGCGATCAGTTAAAAAAAAACTACCAGACCGTTCACACCTCAGAACATTCAGTTTTTTAAAAGCCTGAGACTAAAAGTCATCGAAAATCGTGGAAGAAAATATCGTGCATATTAGTCTAAAACAACAAAATGGACGAAATTCTAAACATTCATACAGGGATCGCCTTTGCCTATCGCTCAATCGAAGTCCATGCACATCAGTCTTATTTATCATTACAATTCAACAATAAAGATGAAATCCGAATAGCAATCCAACTTCAGGACTTATGCTTATTACCGTCTCGTAGTATGATTCATATATGTTGTCGATTAACGAAAGATGATGGATGAAAAACAGTAATAAATACCGTATTTGTTAATAATACTCTCTGTACTTTTTAAACGCACCTCGTATATGTATGCAAATCAATGTGAAATAAATGTAAATTGACACATAATGACGAGCGAATTAGAAATCAATTGTGAATAAATAATACGTACGCAAATTTAATTGTGAGGGCGCTAGGAATAGAAAATTGACCATTGATAATTACGAAAAATAACGAAATGAATGATGTAAATTGCAAAACACGCAGCGACAATGATTATGCGAATTATTATACATAACCAAGAAAGAAAAATATGAAAATGCATGAGTGTGACCTTTAAAACTTCTGTATACGTACTCAGAAGCGACGATTAGCGAAACCATTAATACCGACATAGTAAGTTGACCAAATTTGAATTTTCTGGCAAAATGCGCTAGTGACCTCATGAGTATAATAGACAAATAGACAAATTCAGATAAATTTGGGTTTCTGCTAAAATTTGGCATTAATTTATGCTGAATGACTTAGTAGGGAGAGAAAAAGAGAAAATAGCGATGCAGTAAGAGATAATCGGAGCGCACTTGTAATTTCCAAATTTGCATGTAAACCAATGAACCGACTTTTTCTCGAAAGAAGTGGAGTACGTCGATCTTCTTTCGCAGAAAAATGTCGCTCGTTCATATTTCCACGGACCGTCGGATCGCACAGTTATGAGAGAGAATCATTCGAGCTTGCGTTTTGGTGCAAGAACGAAGACACCGCAAATTGAGTAAGTAGACAAAGTGCTACACATCGTCCCAAAAAAAAGTGTCGCTATCTATAAAATTCGTCACCTTTATTTAATTCCGTTACCACCGCATGTAGAATAAAGTAGATCAAATCGTACTAACCGACCGCCATTTCCTGACGCGAGTGTAGCTGACTTTTGAAAATAAAAGAAGTGAACTGTAATTGGTCTTTCTTGGTTTATTTTCGTTTCGCTGACCGATTCCTCTTGCACGCTGACCTCTTTATTTTCAATCGTAGATGAGATTTTTAGTGATAGCTTTAATTTTCGAAATTTTTGCGTCAGTGTGAAGTAGCCACGTGCGGCATTATCTACCGAACCTCGACCTCGAAAAAGGAACTGCTTCCTGAGCTACATAGTATTCCATCATCAGGGAAGGACAATCGAGAGGAAAAGGTGCCCAGTGAAAGTTGAAGCCCTAAGCCCTGTGGCAGTGAGATTTGACGTGCGTGGCCTACTCCCTCCAAAATTGCCTCCACAAGTGTATGTTAGGTGTACTAAAAAAGAATATCCTTCAAAAAAGTATTACAAGGCTCATATACTACTACTTCGTAATTTCTTAACTATACTTTTTGAATGCTTTTATAACTATTGTAAATGCCCCTCTAATTATTCGAGATAATTTACATCTGGGCTGAATATTTTGTATGAAAAATTGATTTTAAATAAAAGTATCTGTTGTTTAAGCAGTGGTGAAAAATAAATGAAATCCATTGAAGTAATCTTTATTACTTTTCTCGTTCTCCTCTTTTCCGGAATATACAGGCTGTCCCATTTTAAATGACGGACCTGAATATCTCGAAAAGTTCACGTTGTGCGAAAAAATTGTTCATAAAAAGTTGTTTAGGACAGTGAGGGTCATCTACTTGTCAGATCAGTGTTCACCTTGAGAATGATTTTCAAGGTTATTTGAAGGTCAATTTTGTTTTTTTTAAATGGAAAAGCCTATTTTTTATCCCGGATTCGGACAGAGTGGGAAATTTTACTTTCAAATCATGTAATATGTGTGGGATCCGAATAACCCCCCCCCCCCCCAAAGTCATGAGTTCAAACCTGCGACGGTTTGAACCTGCGAGGTTAACCTCGAAATGACTTTAGGGGTGGGATGGGGGGTCATTTGGACCCTACACATATTACATGATTTGAAAGTAAAATTTCCCACTCTGTCCGAATCCGGGATAAAAAATAGGCTTTTCCATTTAAAAAAACAAAATTGACCTTCAAATAACCTTGAAAATCATTCTCAAGGTGAACACTGATCTGACAAGTAGATGACCCTCACTGTCCTAAACAACTTTTGTATGTACAATTTTTTCGTACAACATTAACTTTTCGAGATATTCAGGTCTGTCATTTAAAATGGAAAACCCTGTATATTTCGATAAATAATAATAATAATAAATATTGGATTTCTTGATTATTAATATATATATTGTATTTATACATATTTTTTTGATATTATACTGCTGTGAATAAGCTTTATTATTTAATGAATGAAATAATAATTTTCATGCATCAATATTATCCGTATCTACACACGCAGGAGCGCGCATATAGATAGTTTATGGTATAATTTCTATTCATTATATTTTAATTTCATTTCGGTTGTTACAAGCTCAACCTGAAAATAATAATTGTTAAACATTTTTCTCACTATGTTTCGCGAGATTCGAAATGAAATTTTCAAAAATTAAAGGTATTTCGTCCTATGCTGTAGGATTGGACTCTTCAGTAAAGATAAGGCTCAGTTTATAAGAGGCTCATGCCCATTTCTACAAAAGAAGAAATTAGCGTCACAATTTAATTTTTGCCACCTTGGCATTCGGTTGAAAAAATTATAGGTAGATGGTTCATTTCCCATTAAACTACTGCCTGATCTAAACTTCACTTAAGCGTTTTTTAACTCATTCAATTAATGTGTGACTACCTTAAAATAAACAATTTAAAATAATGAATTATTTTACGTTTGTAATACAGTGTAACGTTGCTTTGTTTACTACGGGTGTCTGCAGTCGACAGGAATTACAACAGTGACAGCGGCTAACGTTTACTATGTTAGATTATGACCAAGG